TCCCTCTTGAGATGGTTCGTCGAATTGGATGACGCCATAAGGGCGCGTCGCATCGACGACGGGGATATGCAAGTTGCATTTGCCCAGTCAAATCTGGCAGGACGTGCCAAGACTTGGGCACTGGGGCTCAAGTTTCACGACCCATATGCGTTTGGGTCGTTGGCAGTCTTCAAGTCGCGGCTCAGACAAACATTTGAACCGCCTAGAGCTGAGTTCAGAGCTCGAACCAAACTCTTGAAGCTCAAGCAGGGTAAGCGTGATGTGCACGCTTACGCGCAACATATACGACATCTTACGAGTTGTATAAGTTCCAATCCGGTGGATGAACACACGTTGGTTTCAGTGTTCATGCAGGGTCTTGCGGATGGTCTCGTCAAGACTCACCTGTTACGGCTTGAACTAGATTTACTAGAACAAGCCATTTCCATTGCGGAGCAGGAAGACTTCAGTCTGAGACAGGCTCGCGCCAGCTCGACATCATATCGTCAACCGAGACGATATGACAACGGAGGTCCAGAGCCGATAGAACTCTGTTATGTAGAGAGCGAGAAGGCTCGCTCTACAGACTACAAAAGGTTGCAGAAATGCAACAGATGTCAGAAGACAGGACACTACGCTTACGAGTGTAGTGCCCCTCGTCCAGTGTCTCGCAACACTGGGCGTAGTGACCGTCCACCCATGAGAAAAGAGCAGGGACGAGGGTCCGCTGTTGGTGCAAAGACGCAACAACAGGATGGACCGTCAAAAAACGGACAAGATCAGTAGGTGCGGAGCACCCTACTGGTCCAGCAACGTCAAGAGAATTTGTAGGCCTCTTGATGAAGGTTGCTCCCAACACACAAACGTTGTGCGTTGCTGCTCTAGGTAATGAGATCTCACTCATTACCTTGAAACTCGAAGTGACGAATAAGTTGTCCCTTCGAGCTCTAGTCGATTGTGGGGCGTCCAACAGTTTTGTGCGACGCCAATCGCTAGAAGATGGTCACTTCAAGTTCAGTGAATGTGACACACCTCCTACGAGGATGACGGTACGTCTTGCGACAGGCGCATCCGTAACCGTCATGAAGCGTATAGTGAAGATCCAATATACGCTAGAAGATACCCAATATGACGATGACTTTATCGTATTGGATTTGGATGACAAATTTGATGTCATCCTTGGAATACCGTGGCTCAGAAGGTACGAACCACGAGTAAACTGGCAACATCGAACAGTAACGATGCCTGCCGCTTGTTCATCAGATGGCCATCTGATGAACGTTTTTGGAGCGTCCACAAGCGTGTGGATGTACTGCGATTGAGTGCGATGGCCTCACTTGTGGTATGGTCATTAGTACAACTGCACAAAACCTTAGTGTAACAAACGGTTACACTTCGGAGCAAAGTTCCGGCGGCTGTGAGGAAACACAGGCTGCGCCGAAGGTCCACCACTCGAATAAGTCGAGTGGACCGGGACAAAGATGTATCCCTATCGGGGAACATCTAGAAGAAAAACGATCGATCGCTCAGGTTAAGCGAAACGATAATCCTAGATCGACTGGAGAGTCTTTCGTAGAGGATCTCGCTGTGGTTGCGCAACCCCAGCTAGAGGAAGTTAAGGGAATAAGTCCCGATATTACAGATACGGCGGAAATAAGTTCCCCGAAACCCGCGGGAATAAGTCCCCGGGAAGACGAAGGAATAAGTCCTTCGAAGCCTGAGGGAATAAGTCCCCAGGAAATGACAGAGACATTGAATGTTATTGTCAATGACGGATCAAGTGTAGGCGCTTATACACTTGATCTGATTGCGCCTCCGAAGTTAACTTCGGAGATCACTCAGTTGCCAACGCTCGAACACAAAAGGTTCTTGCGTGATCTGCGTAGTGGCAAAGTCAAGCAGATCTTCGTACTCGTCGCTGACGACGAGTGTGTAACCGACATAAGGTCAGTAACAGTGTTTACTGAGAACGAGAGAGTTCTCAGTAGTTCATCTATGGACGAGAGTGTCCTAGATGAAAGACACGAATTGAGCGATATGACTCCCAATCGTGGGAATCGCTCAAGAAAAATCCTCTCTATGAAGATTTGGTTGAATTCAAGGATGTATTCCCTGAAACTGTTCCGTGCGAATTACCGAAGGGATAAAGGTATTCGACACGAGGTCGAGCTTAAACCAGGATCGAAGTACTGTGTCATGAAGCAGTGGCCACTGCCTCGTGAACAAGTACTTGCGATCGACAAGTTCTTTGCCGATCGTTTAGCTGCGGGCCATGTGAGGGAATCAACTTCCCCACATAGCTCTCCGACCTTCTGTGTGCGAAAAGCAACAGGAGGGTGGCGGATAGTGCACGCATTCAACAAATTAAACGCTGCAACGGTACCGGCTCAGACGCCGATACCGAGGAAGGGCGTAATCATTGATGGTATGTCAAAGAGTACCATCTTTTCGTCCATGGATTTGATGGGTGGCTTCTATAAAATCCTTATGCGAGAACGGGATATACCCTATACCGCAGTTAGCACGCCTAGCGGTACGCTCTGGGAATGGCTAGCAATGCCACAAGGGCTTAGTAATGCCCCTGCCACGTTCAACAGATGTGTATCACATCTGTTGAGACCAGTACGAGAATTCGCGCCGAGTTATTTCGATGACGTATTCATCCATAGTCGAGCTATGGATGGAAAGTCAGATGTTGAGGTTCACAGGTACCACGTCCGACAGGTTCTTACAATCATGCGAAAGCATCAATTGTATGCAAACCTCAAGAAGTGTATATTTGCAGCAAGCGAAATACCACTTCTTGGGTGCATCGTTGGTAAGAACGGTGTACGTCCTGATCCCGAAAAGATCAAGGCGATCACCGACTGGCCTGTGCCGGTTGATGTCAAAGGTCTTCGAAAATTCCTTGGGCTAGCGGCTTATTTGCATAAGTACTCACGCAATTACGCCGAGATGACTGTGCACCTCTCTCGTTTGTTGAAAAAGAACGAGAGGTGGCTATGGAACGCCGAATGTCAGCGCTCCTTTGATGGTATCAAGCAGAGCTTGATACAATCCCCAGTCCTAGCAATAGCCGATCAGGACAGGCCATTTCATGTGGTCTGTGATGCCAGCGATTTCGCAATCGGCTGTGCATTAATGCAGTACGACCTAGAAGGCGTTGAACGCGTCGTCTGCTATCAGTCGCGTCAGCTGCAACCAGCTGAGCGGAACTATCCAGTGCATGACAAGTAACTCCTTGCCATGAAGTATGCACTCGCGAAGTTTAGAGTCTATCTATTAGGAGATAGACCCTTCATTGTTTACACTGACCATACGTCATTACGCACGGCAGTGAAAAGCCCGCACCTTTCACAACGAATGGCGCGGTGGTTGTCATTCTTTGCAGAATACAACTTTACGGTCGAGTACAAACCAGGACGACTTAATGTCGTCGCTGATGCACTCTCACGTCGTCCCGACTTTGAAACAGTCGCGAAACCCAACAGTGAGACAGTCACTGTTGCGGTTATGACGTCCTCAGTCCCATCTACAACGTTGTATGATGATGTGAGGCGGGCATACGCCCAAGATGGTGAGATTGTGAAGTTGTTGACACATCTCTCCCAACCATCTCGAGAATCGTTGAAACGATTGTCGTCTGCGTATCGATCTGCATCAGATCGATACACTACTCGTAACGGGTTACTGTATTATACAGCGGTTACTGGTGACACACCACGTGTTGTCATTCCAGATGATACTGATCTGCGCTTGCGGATCATGTTCGACTATCACGATGCTCCTATAGGAGGACATCGTGGCCGGGAGAAAACATATCTCACGGTGAGTCGAGACTTTTACTGACCCCGCCAGTATCAGTTTGTGCGAAAGTATGTTCGCGCATGCGAAGTCTGCCAACGAGTGAAGTCAAGTCCTTCACTGCATGCACCTTTACAGCCTCTACCGGTTCCGGCTGAGTGCTGGGAATCCATCTCAATGGATTTCGTCTTCGGGTTACTCAAAGACGCACGCGGGAATACGGGTATTCTCGTATTTGTTGACAGATTCAGCAAAATGGTACATCTTGTGGCTGTACCCGAGTCAATCACGGCAAGTGGCTGTGCTTGTGTCTTTATCGACACCATCTTCCGACTTCATGGGTTGCCCCGTGAACTCGTATCAGACAGAGATCCACGATTCACTGCTGATTTCTGGCGCTCCGTGTTCAAATTACTCTGAACGCGCTTGAAGATGTCGACATCTGATCATCCAGAGACATATGGTCAGACGGAACGTGCCAATCGTGTCCTTGAAGAGATCCTTCGAGGATACGTACACTACTTTAAGAGTTGGAGTGAGTTTTTGCCAATGGTAGAGTTTGCCATCAACAACTCGGTGCATGCGTCCACGACACATACACCGTTTTACGTGAATGGCTTGCGCCATCCGCGTGTACCCACCTTACTAGAGTGTAACTCTGGTTTAAGGGGGGGGAGGGACTCGCGCGAGCAAAAACCGATTTGGTTCACGCTCATCACGCTCTGACAAAGAGGTCATTGCGTTTGATGCCGATATCGATAACATCGATATCGAAGAAGATGATGCCAGTGAGTGTGCGGAAGCCCTCACTGAAGAAGATGATGCCAGTGAGAGTGCGGAAGCCCTCACTGAAGAAAAGGTTGATGTTGCTGCAGTGCGCTCACAGCGCACTGAAGCTAACGAGTCATCAGATGAGTTCATACTGGCTCGTGAAACGGTAGTCCGTTTTGTGCAAGACTCCATCGCCGAAGCGGTGGACAAGCAAAATCAAAACGCTGACAAGAATGGAAGGGCAAAAACTCTTTTATTTAATAAAGGTGACTTAGTCCTACTGTCTACGGTTAATCTACCAAAACATGTAGTGACTAACTTGGGTAGCAGTAAAATACTACCCAAGTACATCGGCCCATTTCGTGTACTGCACCGCCTAGGCAATGCATACACGATCGAGTTACCACGTAAGATGCGAACGCATCCCACGTTTTACGTTGATCGGCTTAAGCCGTACCATCAGTACGCTGCTTCTTCCGATGAAGAACGCCCTTGCGCTCAAGCATCTCGCAGAGAGCCTTGTGCTCCCGATGGTGGGCATCAACAAGGGTCTGAAGAGCAGCTATCTCATCCCGAGACCGATCAACAATCCCACGAGCTACCCTTAGCTCGTCACGAAGAGGTGTCAGAGATCTCTCGTTCTCAAGCTGAGCAAAGGCAAACTCAGCTCGATGCTTCGAGGCAGTGTCCGCCATTTGGAGACGCCTATTCCGCTCATGTTCGAGATCGTCGCGTAACCCTTGCATTACGCGATCAAAGAAGCTCTCGGGAACACACCGATCCACATGATCGTGTGGAGAGCGTCTTTCCTCCTCCTCCACCTCCATTAGAGGACTCTCGCGGTGGCCAGCGCTATCTAGTTGAGCAGCTGTTGAACCACCGCGACGTGAACGGACGTCGGACGAGTTACCTCGTCCGGTGGCGCGGCTATCCCCCGTCCTGGGATTCTTGGGAGCCCCGCTCCCAACTGATGGTTGACGTACTGGGTCTGGTCGAGCAGTACGACGCGGCACATCCTGTGCCGCAGAAGGACCGCCGGAGAAAGTCTTCCCGGCACGGTCGTAAAGGGATTTCAGGTTGTCAATCCCTTCGTACATCTCAGTAGAGACACGTACGCGCCACCACGGGCTGGTAAGGAGGTAAGCCTCCTTAGGTGCTCGTGCAGAGTTGTTCACACAACATGGGCACGAGTCTCCTCAAGAGAGGCAGGGTAATCCTTTCTCCCTTGACAGACGATGCAGCTTGTAGCGTGCACCTGTCGGGGTTCGCTTTTCAAACTTATCACGAGCTTTGATAAGTTTGTCGTTCCAAGCGTCACGACCTACATCCTCGAGGTTATGGATGTAGGCGTTCCACGCTTGAAGTAGTGAGGGACCATCACGCTCGTGATTCCCTCTGTACCATCGATGTTTGAAGAAAGCATCGATGAAGAATTCATGTTCAGCGCGATAGGTTTTCGCGCTGGGGTCAAGGTGATGGATCCTTGACGAATCGAACAACCGTGTTCGATAACGATCACTCGTCGTCGCCGACAAGTGATCCATGACGGATTTTGGAGGCATCCATGCCTTCTTCTCAGGAGCGAGACGCAACACACTGCGGTCCCGCTCTTCCTGCGACGTGCCGACAGAAGTACTGGCACCTCGCTGTGAAGTGGTGTCCATAGGAGAACTGACACCACTGTTAGCGCTCGAGTCTCGCGACCTCGAGCGCCTTCGCTTCGGCGATGGTTCATCTGATTCATCAGATGAACCAAAGATGCTGCGACGCAAAGCATCGTCCATGCCACGCTTGGCAGGCGGATTGGTTTCAATCGCCGTCGATACGGATCCGTCTTCCGTATCAGGAGAGTACGAGACACCGAGCTCGTACTCTGTGAAGACATGAGTGTCTTCATGACCAGCGCCTGCATCACCAAGTGACACACGCTGAGTCGCTTCAGCAACCGATGAGACATCAGTTGCTGTGGTTTCTGCTTCGGCGTCCGCACAGAGACGTGCGGACGCGCTCTCGGCGGCCTTGCTCGCGCATCGCATGGGCTTGTTAACCATGCGATGAACTGTTGGAAAGTGGACTCGGACCAACAAGTGCAAACCCTGTCCCAAATGATTTGGGACGAGTATCCATTTAGTCAATCAGTCACTAAAGTGACTGATGGTTAAGGGGGGGGTGATGTAACGGGGTGAATCGTTACATAACAATTTATAAGAAATTGTTATTAGAATATAACTATAAGAGTTATATTCTCAGAATGTTGTCATAAGGACAAATATTCTGTAGCACTTACGAGTAGTTCCTAATTGGTTGATATAGGTCATTATATCAACCAACGAAGACGCGCCACGACAGACGCACGCAGTGAGTGGTGAGCAGATAGTTGATTTACACATTTGTATTTAGACATAGTTAGATGAAGATAAATAGTGATTTATTGCAGACATTAACTATACTAAATACAGTTCTACTTTTTACTCTAACCAAGTACTCGCTTCTTCTTACCGTCTTCCTCTGCACGTACGAGTGTACGTGAAGTTACGAGGCACCGCCTTATTCTGTTATCAGAATAAGTAGCTTGTACTGTCACCAGTACAAGCTTCAGGGTGCCCCGTTACAGTAACTCAGCTTGTGTATTTTAGTTTTTCACATTCTGTAAGAACGCTGGCAGTAGCGTCGTTGCCCATTGCGGTAATTTAGAATGGCTTGGGAAGGCATCACTAAGATCTAGAAATGCGGCCGCGCGTATCGAGTGCGAAGGCGATGTATCTTACATGTCAGGATCCCGTAAAGCTTACACCGCATTAGTGACTTTTCTACAAGGTTCCTGTTGATTTATATATCATCGTAGACCTGTAAGAATAATCAGTAGTATTTTCCAAACAGGTGCCAAGCGGCCAAAGAACTAGAACAGGATAAGGAAGGTTAATCAACACAAACAGCTCCGACCGCCTCCATTTTAGCATAATTCGGATTTAATTATTTATCTTGAAGCTTATCACTTATCCGTAAAAATGTATGACGCGCTGTAAGTACGGAACAGCGACATGCGAAGTTCAGATCAGCTCCACTCCGTAATCCTTGCCGGAAAAAAAGGACACCAGACTGAATAGCTGGCTGGACATTAGGCTGATTAGCTCTTGGCTACAGGCTGTTTAGCCGTTTCCACCACGTGTTCAAACTACTGGTCCAGTTGATTACGCCCGATACCATCCCGTCGTCACCCCGTCAGCAGCTCAGCCACGTCACTTTCCAATTCACCGTCTTAAGCTTAGCTAAGACCTTTCCACATACACAGCTATGTGCTCGGCTGTCACGCTCATCACGTGCATCGTCGTCCGTTTTGCGGTTGTAAATTCGCTGGTGCCGGACTCGATGCCTGACGTCTCCACTCGGTCTGATGCGATGACTCAAGAAGACACGCCATCAAGCAAGCGCTTGGGGTCCTTCGTGAACAAGCAAGACGAGGACCGAACGATCAGTGTCAACGATGCTGTCGGCGTAATCGGACTGACCAAGGTTTTCGACAAACCAGTCATTCCTCCAAAATGGCTGCGCAAAGGAATACCTGCGGAGGATGTGCTCGAGCGGCTTCATCTCGACACGAGCGGCATCGAACTATTCGAGAAACCCGAGTTTCTTTCCTGGGCGCTGTATGTTGACCGATTCAACATCAAGCATCCTACTCAGATGAAGTCAATGTACGCGGTGTTGACGAAGCGATACACTCCAAACGTCCTGGCGAAGATGATTGAGGCGGCAAAGCACAAGCCTGAAACCAAACACATTGCCATGAATCTACAGGCTGAGCAGACGAAAGAGTGGGATGATGCCGGTATCAACCTAGGGCTAGTCCTCGATGTGTTCTTACTTGACGTGGTCAAGGATTTGTCCCAGCCCGCGTTTAACATCTTGCTCAGGTACGCTCATAAAAGCAACCTGGGCAGTAGAACAATAACTTTTCTCTTGGAGACTCTAAAAGACCACCTCAGCGACGCGGAGCTGTCACATCTAGTGGTAACAGCGAAGCAAGATGAGTTCATTTTCGACCCGGCTCTTGATCTACAGATTGCGCTTGCTGACCTTTGGTTGGTGAGACGCGTGCGTCCTGTAGATGTGTTCGAGTGGCTCGGGCTTCACCGTGACGTAATCGACTTTTACAAGAACGCAGAGGTAAGGAATTGGAAAGTGTACGCAAACGCTTTTCGTCACCAAACGAAATTGGAACACCCGGCATTAATCGATCTGCTCAGGGTTCACTATGGAGACGAGGTGCTGTGTTCGTTGGTCAACAAGGTCCGACATGATTCACCTCGGTACGAGTGGACAACGCGTTTGTTGCACGACCTGGTCGTGCGATGGATCGGTGAAAAGAGATCTGTTGTATACGTGCGTGACCGGACGGGGGTCTCAGGATCTTTGATGCACAATCGCGTGTCGCTAAAATTAGCGAAGGGGAGTCCTGTAGAACTAATGTTGTAGGACAATTTAGTTGGGTGGAGGTGTCGGAATCATGACGACGTGCTCTGGTTGACTTTCTACTTACACGTTTTTCCATCCGTCGTCGGGTAGTTTGGTCAGACATGCAGTGTGACATCTATATCTAGTGCCACACAAGATCTCCGGCACGCTGAATACATCTTTACTTCTGAAACCTTGTGCCTGGCAGTCTAAACCGACATGATGTGTATCTTTCCTTGAATTGGTGTAATTGTTTTGATGCTTATGCAAACAATAATCGTCGCCTCCCCTTAGTAAACGTTTACATGCACACTCCTACTACCATACTCTCGAACCGAGTTAGTCTACCACAAGCTTCTTCATCGTAGCCTTGTTTTCATAGGCCCGGTTGTTCTCTTTATCTACCAACACGACGACGAAGACTGTAACGGGGTGAATCGTTACATAACAATTTATAAGAAATTGTTATTAGAATATAACTATAAGAGTTATATTCTCAGGATATTGTCATAAGGACAAATATTCTGTAGCACTTACGAGTAGTTCCTAATTGGTTGATATAGGCCATTATATCAACCAACGAAGACGCGCCACGACAGACGCACGCAATGAGTGGTGGGCAGATAGTTGATTTGCACATTTGTATTCAGACATAGTTAGATGAAGATAAATAGTGATTTATTGCAGACATTAACTATACTAAATACAGTTCTACTTTTTACTTTAACCAAGTACTCGCTTCTTCTTACCGTCTTCCTCTGCACGTACGAGTGTACGTGAAGTTACGAGGCACCGCCTTATTCTGTCATCAGAATAAGTAGCTTGTACTGTCACCAGTACAAGCTTCAGGGTGCCCCGTTACACCAGGTAGCACTTCGTAGTCTGTCCAAGGACCACGTTCACATCTAAAATGAATATGTCGGATGATGAAGATGACCAAAGCTTTCACGCTGCGCGTGACGGCTACTCCCATTTGAGCGATGTCGAATGGGATGCGGTTGAACGAATGGGTTCAACCATGGGCATCCATGCTGTTAGCGTCATGCTAGAGGCTCTCAATAGAGATGCCCAACATGCTACTATCGCCAATTTCATTCAAAATGAACTTGACGCCGAACGCGAGAAAGTAGCCTTGCTTCACCAACAAGGTTCTCAACAAGCAGAGTTGTTGAGAGAACAGGGTGCTCAACAGTTTGAACTGTTGAGACAGCAGCAGGCTGCTGCTGGCGGGTCGATGCACTCGCGTCGACCCGAAACCTTGAAGATTGACATCTCCAAGTATAGGGGAGTCGAAGAGGACTCCCTCTTGAGATGGTTCGTCGAATTGGATGACGCCATAAGGGCGCGTCGCATCGACGACGGGGATATGCAAGTTGCATTTGCCCAGTCAAATCTGGCAGGACGTGCCAAGACTTGGGCACTGGGGCTCAAGTTTCACGACCCATATGCGTTTGGGTCGTTGGCAGTCTTCAAGTCGCGGCTCAGACAAACGTTTGAACCGCCTAGAGCTGAGTTCAGAGCTCGAACCGAACTCTTGAAGCTCAAGCAGGGTAAGCGTGATGTGCACGCTTACGCGCAACATATACGACATCTTACGAGTTGTGTAAGTTCCAATCCGGTGGATGAACACACGTTGGTTTCGGTGTTCATGCAGGGTCTTGCGGATGGTCCCGTCAAGACTCACCTGTTCCGGCTTGAACTAGATTCACTAGAACAAGCCATTTCCATTGCGGAGCAGGAAGACTTCAGTCTGAGACAGGCTCGCGCCAGCTCGACATCATATCGTCAACCGAGACGATATGACAACGGAGGTCCAGAGCCGATGGAACTCTGTTATGTAGAGAGCGAGAAGGCTCGCTCTACAGGCTACAAGAAGTTGCAGAGATGCAACAGATGTCAAAAGACAGGACACTACGCTTACGAGTGTAGTGCCCCCTCGTCCAGTGTCTCGCAACACTGGGCGTAGTGACCGTCCACCCATGAGAAAGGGGCAGGGACGAGGGTCCGCTGTTGGTGCAAAGACGCAACAACGGGATGGACCGTCAAAAAACGGACAGGATCAGTAGGTGCGGAGCACCCTACTGGTCCAGCAACGTCAAGAGAATTTGTAGGCCTCTTGATGAAGGTTGCTCCCAACACACAAACGTTGTGCGTTGCTGCTCTAGGTAATGAGATCTCACTCATTACCTTGAAACTCGAAGTGACGAATAAGTTGTCCCTTCGAGCTCTAGTCGATTGTGGGGCGTCCAACAGTTTTGTGCGACGCCAATCGCTAGAAGATGGTCACTTTAAGCTCAGTGAATGTGACACAACTCCTACGAGGATGACGGTACGTCTTGCGACAGGCGCATCCGTAACCGTCATGAAGCGTATAGTGAAGATCCACTATACGCTAGAAGATACCCAATATGACGATGACTTTATCGTATTGGATTTGGATGACAAATTTGATGTCATCCTTGGAATACCGTGGCTCAGAAGGTACGAACCACGAGTAAACTGGCAACATCGAACAGTAACGATGCCTGCCGCTTGTTCATCAGATGGCCATCTGATGAACGTTTTTGGAGCGTCCACAAGCGTGTGGATGTACTACGAGTGAGTGCGATGGCCTCACTTGTGGTACGGTCGTTAGTACGACTGCGCAAAACCTTAGTGTAACAAACGGTTACACTTCGGAGCAAAGTTCCGGCGGCTGTGAGGAAACACAGGCTGCGCCGAAGGTCCACCACTCGAATAAGTCGAGTGGACCGGGACAAAGATGTATCCCTAGCGGGGAACATCTAGAAGAGAAACAATCGATCGCTCAGGTTTAGCAAAACGATAATCCTAGATCGACTGGAGAGTCTTTCGTAGAGGACCTCGCTGTGGTTGCGCAACCCCAGCTAGAGGAAGTTAAGGGAATAAGTCCCGATATTACAGATACGGCGGAAATAAGTTCCCCGAAACCCGCGGGAATAAGTCCCCGGAAAGCCGAAGGAATAAGTCCTTCGAGGCCTGAGGGAATAAGTCCCCAGGAAATGACAGAGACATTGAATGTCATTGTCAATGACGGATCAAGTGTAGGCGCTTATACACTTGATCTGATTGCGCCTCCGAAGTTAACTTCGGAGATCACTCAGTTGCCAACGCTCGAACATAAAAGGTTCTTGCGTGATCTGCGTAGTGGCAAAGTCAAGCAGATCTGCGTACTCGTCGCTGACGACGAGTGTGTAACCGACATAAGGTCAGCAACAGTGTTTACTGAGAACGAGAGAGTCTTCGGTAGTTCATCGATGAAGGAGAGCGTCCTCGGTGGAAAGACATGAGTTGAGCGATATGACTCCCAATCGTGGGAATCGCTCAAGAAAAATCCTCTCTATGAAGATTTGGTTGAATTCAAGGATGTATTCCCTGAAACTGTTCCGTGCGAATTACCAAAGGATAAAGGTACTCGACACGAGGTCGAGCTTAAACCAGGATCGAAGTACTGTGTCATGAAGCAGTGGCCACTGTCTCGTGAACAAGTACTTGCGATCGACAAGTTCTTTGCCGATCGTTTAGCTGCGGGCCATGTGAGGGAATCAACTTCCCCACATAGCTCTCCGACCTTCTGTGTGCGAAAAGCAACAGGAGGGTGGCGGATAGTGCACGCGTTCAACAAATTGAACGCTGCAACGGTACCGGCTCAGACGCCGATACCGAGGAAGGACGTAATCATTGATGGTATGTCAAAGAGTACCATCTTTTCGTCCATGGATTTGATGGGTGGCTTCTATCAAATCCTTATGCGAGAACGGGATATACCCTATACCGCAGTTAGCACGCCTAGCGGCATGCTCTGGGAATGGCTAGTAATGCCACAAGGGCTTAGTAATGCCCCTGCCACGTTCAACAGATGTGTATCACATCTGTTGAGACCAGTACGAGAATTCGCGCCGAGTTATTTCGATGACGTATTCATCCATAGTCGAGCTATGGATGGAAAGTCAGATGTTGAGGTTCACAGGTACCACGTCCGACAGGTTCTTACAATCATGCGAAAGCATCAATTGTATGCAAACCTCAAGAAGTGTATATTTGCAGCAAGCGAAATACCACTTCTTGGGTGCATCGTTGGTAAGAACGGTGTACGTCCTGATCCCGAAAAGATCAAGGCGATCACCGACTGGCCTGTGTCGGTTGATGTCAAAGGTCTTCGAAAATTCCTTGGGCTAGCGGCTTATTTGCATAAGTACTCACGCAATTACGCCGAGATGACTGTGCACCTCTCTCGTTTGTTGAAAAAGAACGAGAGGTGGCTATGGAACGCCGAATGTCAGCGCTCCTTTGATGGTATCAAGCAGAGCTTGATACAATCCCCAGTCCTAGCAATAGCCGATCAGGACAGGCCATTTCATGTGGTCTGTGATGCCAGCGATTTCGCAATCGGCTGTGCATTAATGCAGTACGACCTAGAAGGCGTTGAACGCGTCGTCTGCTATCAGTCGCGTCAGCTGCAACCAGCTGAGCGGAACTATCCAGTGCATGACAAGTAACTCCTTGCCATGAAGTATGCACTCGCGAAGTTCAGAGTCTATCTATTAGGAAATAGACCCTTCATTGTTTACACTGACCATACGTCATTACGCACGGCAGTGAAAAGCCCGCACCTTTCACAACGAATGGCGCGGTGGTTGTCATTCTTTGCAGATTACAAGTTTACGGTCGAGTACAAACCAGGACGACTTAATGTCGTCGCTGATGCACTCTCACGTCGTCCCGACTTTGAAACAGTCGCGAAACCCAACAGTGAGACAGTCACTGTTGCGGTTATGACGTCCTCAGTCCCATCTACAACGTTGTATGATGATGTGAGGCGGGCATACGCCCAAGATGGTGAGATTGTGAAGTTGTTGACACATCTCTCCCAACCATCTCGAGAATCGTTGAAACGATTGTCGTCTGCGTATCGATCTGCATCAGATCGATACACTACTCGTAACGGGTTACTGTATTATACAGCGGTTACTGGTGACACACCACGTGTTGTCATTCCAGAT